AAACTAAAAAAGCCACCTCATGCCGAGCCCTGGTTAGAAGAGACAAATCATCGTACCTGATGTCCACTGGCTGTGGTACGAATGGTTCTACACTCGAAAATATCGTATGTGGACCACAGTAGATGTTTTTCGGTAGTTCACCAAATGATAGGCAATCAGAAATCTAAAATGCGCAGCATTAAAATTGAACAAAAAGTTTTAATTCAAATAATTTCACAATTTACCTGGAGCTCTCCGCTGACGGCTTCCACCACAGCCGAGAATCCTGCAGGTGGTCCGAATCGGAGTCGACCCTGATCACCTCCGAAAATGAAGCGACAGCTGTAAGAAAGAGCAATAAAAGTATATCTGTACAATGAAGCGGACAAAAAACTTTTAAAAAAAGAAAGGTTCACTTTTCCCATTGCTACTTACCTCACTTTGGCACTCAAAGACATCACAGGGAAAAAATACCCGTCGATATTGAAATTTCTAAAGCTTGCACCAATGTCACGCCCGTTCACAGTAAATCTAAATAGGAACTTATCACAGCATGTCCCTGGGCCCAAAATCATTTATACCTAATTTCCGGTACATTCAGATCTAATGCACATCCAACTACGTCGCCCTTCTCTAGTTTTCGCGGGTGGACTACTCGTCCCTTCCCAGCAAAAAATACTTGCTGTCCATCGAAACCGTAGGAGTAAAAATCATCACCGATGCCATTGCAGCCCCACCTGAGAACAAGAAGATACGTAAAAAAATAAATTCGAGAATTTGCTAAAAAGAAAGTATCATAAGCAGGAGATAACAAGGACAATTTGGCAAAGTTTCTAACTCACTTATCACCCGATCCTGGGAACGGCTTGAAACCGCTGCTATTAGCCCATCCAATTCGAAGATACGGATCCTAAAAAAATCAAAAATTTGACTAAAAATACGGAAAAACAAACAAAAAGTTTACCTCCTTAGTCATTTTTTCAATATGTTCGACTTCAGCTTCAAAGTACCATCGACGGAATAGTGCTGAACCTTCCACTACACCAACCAATACATTTGGCATCATGCTAAAAAACGTTTATTTCTCGACAAATAA